GCCCGCATGCCCCCCACGCACGCGGCCCCATTAAAGCCCCCGTTGCACCGCAGCAACGGCCTCCCGTCCCCGCGCGCCGCGGAGGAGAGGGGCACGAGAGAGGGGCACGAGACAGCCCCAGTGACGCACGGCCCCACACACCTCCTCACTACCCTTTTATTTGGGGGTCCAGGGGAACCGGGGAGGTGGGGACCAGCCCCGGGACACAGGGCGCCCGTGTGTCCCCCTGGGAGGCACTTGGGGACAGGAGGCACTTGGCACCGGGGTGAGCGCCCGGTGTGGGGTGAGGAGCGTTGCAGGACGTGGGGATGGATAGGGACACAGGGGGCCCCATGGGGACACCACAGAGACCCCCATGGGGATGAGGGGGATGGCGTTAGGAGAACTCCTTGGTGAACTTGGCATGGAACCGCGTGAGCTTCTGCAGCAGCTCCCGCAGCTTCTCCGTGGGCGGCAGGATGGTCATCCTGGGGCAGAGCTGGCGCTGGCACCGGTGCGGGACACCCAGCACCCCCCTCTCCCCCCATGGCACCCCACAACCCGCAACCAGCACCCAACACCCTCCTCCAGGCACCCAGCCCCGCGTGTGTCCCTCCGTGCACCCAGCTCCACGGATGTCACTCCATGTACCCAGCCCCACGCAGCTGGCTACATGCACCCATCCTCACATACCCATCACCCCCGGGGACCCACCGGAAGTGGAAGGCAGCCTCATGCAGAAGAAGGCGTCCGGGGCCTGGCCCAGCGCCTGCACCACCGGGCACCCGTCAGCCCCAAATGGGGCATTAGGACCCGCTCATGGGGTGCCAGGGAGGACCTCGGTCCTGGCACAGGTCCCGGATGCTACCTTGGCCTCCTGGATGGCGCGGGCTGGCAGCTCAATGCGGGGGAAGGAGTACATGGCGCCCTGCACGGGGTTGCAGCGGATGCCGGGCGCCTGGTTGAAGATCTCCTGGGTGAGCCGGGCCTTGTGCGCCAGGGCGCTGAGCACCTCCTGCTTCTCCTGCGGCAGCAGGGGCGGGCGCTGAGCTGGCCCCAGGGTGCCACGGGGGCTCCTCCCTGCCACCCTTGTGTCCTGCATCGGTCCCCGTGCCAATCCTGGCCCCACATCCATCTCCCATGTCCATCTCCATCCCCATGCCCATCACCATGGCCATGCCCATCACCATGGCCATGCCCATCCTGAGTCCTGTCCTGTGGCCATGCCCACCCTCATGATCATGATTGTGTCCATCACCATGACCATGCTCGTCTCCATGCCCATGCCTATGCCCATCACCATATGAATCCTCAGTCCCATGTCCAGCCTCATCCCAGTGTCCATCCTCATGCCCATCCCTATGACCCTGATTATGCCCATCACCATGATCACGCTCATCCCCATGCCCATTCCCATCCATCCTTATCCTAATGTCCCATGATCATGACCATGCTCATCCTCAAGTCTATGCCCATCACCATGCCTGTGCCCAGTCCCATGGCCATGACCATCCCCAACATCAGACTTATCTCCGTGTCCATTCCCATGCCCTTACTCATCCTAGTCTCCATACCCATGTCCATCTCCATGCCCATGATCATGCCCATCACCATGACCATGCTCATCCACATATCTATGCCCATTCCCACACCCACCCCCAGACTTATCTCCATGTCCATTCCCATCCCAGTCTCCCTGCCCATGTCCATCCCGTGCCCATCGCTGTGCTCGTGTCCCCATCCCACACTCACGGCCATGAAGCGCTCATAGGAGGGTTCGCCAGGCTGCGGCGGGGCCACCACGGCGTCCAGGATGATCTGCCCGGGCACGGGCGGACACAGGCGCACAGAGACCATCTTGATGAGCTGCTCCCGCACCTCGGGGTCCATGTTCACCACCTCCACAAAGCCGCTGCGGAACCCGCACCTGGCCGCGCATGGCCCGTGGTGGCACCACCAGGCACGTGCACATCGAGGCCACCAAGTCATGGATGGGCGCCCAAGGATGGAGACGCCATGGAAGGGACCCACAAGGACCCCATGGAAGGGACCTCCCCCCCGAAACAGGGACCAAGGCCCCACGGATAGAGAGCCATGGGAAAGGAAGCTGAAAACAGGGCCCCATGTGTAGGGACTCCCAGGGGCACCACCATCCCCCATGGGGCTGAGACAACAGCATCCCCACCCCAGCATCCATGGGGGCCAGGGCACCACCAACCCCATCCCAGCATCCATGGGGCCATGCAAGCACCATCCTACCCTTGGAACCATGGGACTGGGGCACCACCAACCCCACACCAGCACCCATGGGGCTGGGACAACAGCATCCTCACCCAGGGACCTATGGGGCCACCCACCCCAGCCCAGCACCCCACGGAGACAGGGCATCACCATTTCCCCTCCAGTACCCATGGGCCCACCAGCTCCAGTATCCGAGGTTCCTTGGCACCACCACCCCAACCCATGGCACTGTGGCCACCCAGCCCACGGGAGCGAGCACTATGGGGCACTCACTCGCCCATGAAGCCCTTGGAGACGGAGTGGAAGGAGGCCAGCTCCACCACGTCCTTGTAGGGTGACCCCAGCTCGAAGAGGACCTTCTTGAAGGAGTGGAAGGCCGAGCCCTCGGCGCAGACGTTGTCCTGGTACACCTGGGTGGGGGGTGGCACCGGGGACTCCGCCCGGACACCAGGGCCCCGCGGGCGGGTGCTGCCACCCCCCGCTCACCTCGTCGGCCATGAGGAAGAGCCGCTCCTCGTAGGCCAACTTGATGATGTCCTCGATGCACTGCCGGCTCTGCACCTGCCCTGGGGACCGCGCGCGGCGTCACCCGGGCACCGCGGTGGCCCCGGCGGGTGCCCCC